CACAGAACCACCTGCACAGACAAGACTTTTCAAACAACCAGGACCAGGTGGGCAGGCGACTTCTGCTTTTGCGAGGGCAGGGAGAAAACAGGGTCTTGAAGTTGGATGATGAGAGGAGGGGTGCACCTGGGAATTGATAGGTGTGCTGGATTGTGTGATTTGGAGGAGAAGGAAGGGGGAAAGCCTGCAGACAAGCAGATTGGGGGAGTAAGGAGATAGAGGTTCCCACTTTGGCCAAGAGGTCCCTTACCAACAAGAGGATGGGACAGGTGGGCACCAAGCGGGGAAGCTGTCTATAGAGGGAGGTCTAGGATAGCCAGGGCTACACAGAGAAAGTCAGCCTTGAAAGATAAACAAGATGGGAGGGAAGTCACATGATAAAAATCCATCCTTTCTGACCCTAGCAAAGATGGCTGTCAGCCACGTGGCTGCCCCCATCCCATCCATTTTAGCTGGGAGAACATCAGCTAAAATGGCAGCAAGCCACAGGTTTCCTTTAAGGTTGCCTATGCACAGACATTTAACTATCAACCCCATTGTTATGGGTTTTAAATTAACCCTTTTGTTGCAGATTGTACAGATTTGTTATTCATACCCAATATGCTTACAAATCTTGAGGTACTGAGTTACACAGTTGTCTTACAGATATCGAGATAAGATTTATACCTTAACAAAAGTTTTAGAGAGTTAAACCAAAACCCAAAAGAATATGAGATAAGGTGGGTGGGCCATGGCACAGGCCTTTAACCCAGGCTAGGCAGGTCTCTGTGAGTTTGAGATTACCCTGGTCTACAGAGTGAGCTCTGGGTCAGCCAAGGCTTGCACAGAAAAACCCTGTCTCAAAAAACAAAAACAAAACAAAAAACCCAACCTGCCAAACAAACAACCCAATGATGAGTAGCAACAATCCCCATTGGGAACAGTCTGTCCCTTTATTTTGTTTTGCTCCTTTCTCTGTCACACAGTCAAGTGGCTCACCTGTCATGGGACTGAGGTTTTGGAGGAAACCTTTAATCAAGCATGTTTGGGTCTAGAGGAAGTGGAGTAAAACCCAAGCTCTAGAACCAGCTTTTAATCAAAGTAGGACAACATAAAAGAACAACGGTCTTTCGCCACCAATGCCTAAAAGATAGCTGAATCACTGTAACACTGAATCCAGTAAACTGGGAACAACAAAGCTTAGAGAGAGGAAATGTCTGAGCCCTGGCTACAGCGAGAGGACGCTACGGGAGGGAGCTGAGACCCACCCGCCAGTGAAGCCTGTGTAAGAGGTGTGTGCCCGCAGCAGCCCTCCTACCCGGTCCTGCTTGAGTGCCCACTTTGCAACAAATTTACAGTTCTGATAAGTGGTAACTTAAAGATACAAGACATTTACCCAGTGTCTGAAGGAGACCAGACAAAACGAACAAGGCTTGGGGCGGAGAAAAGCGGAGCGCTTGGACGTAGGGAATGGGAAATCCCTTTCCATTTCCAGATCACTTGCAGTAGTTGTAAAAGTCAAAACAATATTAGGATCTAGGGTGTCATTAGGCAGCCAGTTGGATTGATTGTCTAAGGAGTATTGAGGCCAAAACTGATCACAAAATTGAACAGGTTTAGGGTCCTTCCTGTGGGGTGTCAGGTGGAGAGGCTGGAAGTTTTCTGAGAGGCATCCCAAAGGGGCACGAGAGGGTGCGGAAGACGCCATTCTCACGGATGAGAGGGGAGGCTGGGAGGGAAAATGTCACTGCAGCCTGGACTGGCATTCAGTGCATGCTCACCACAACCAGCAGGGGTCAGGGGCTTAGCCAGGCGAGAGACTAGGTCTCTTGTGAAGGCCAGAAGGTGAGTCTCATCCACAGGAAAGGGTGCTGAAGGGGCCCTCACAGAAGCCATGAGGGCACAGAGGAGCCATGGGATTATAGGCAGCTCCGAGGGGAAAGTGGGAAAAGAGGGCAGGAAGGGACGCAGTAGCCACGGGGCCTAAAGAAACTGCGGGTGGGGGGAGTGGGGTCAGGTGAAGAGGGCCAGTCATAGCTTTGAGGACAGCGGCTGGAGGCACTTTGGTTACTCCAAGAGTAATCAGAGGGTGCCCAACCCACCAAAGCGGAAACCTACCTAGCTGCTGCGGGTAGCGGGAGTGATCAGCGAGCCAGAAGGTGAGTTTAGTGCAGCTGGACCAGTGATGAGGGATAGGGTCCCAGTGAAGCTCAGGCTCTGAGGGGGGTGCATGCACCGGGAGAGCATGTCTGGGTTATGGAACTAATGTCAGTGTTGTGGCTCTGAGGGGAAAGGTATCCTGGCAGTCAGGAGCCAAGGGATGCCACAGAGTCACTCGGCACAACAGACCCCGCACAAGAGATTTATTGGGGACGACGGAAGAGGGTGGCTGCCGGTGTGGCAAAGAACTGAGCAGGGGGCAGCCATTACACAGAGTGTCTTGGGAATGGAGCTTTCCAGGGCGGGACTGGTGGGTTTTCAAGACCTGAGCTTGGGCTGTTTACTCTGTAGGGTGGAGCTTGGCCCCCTCAAAGAGCCCCTCTCCAGGGGCTGGGTCCAGCTGTTTGGGCCTTTAGAGTGTGTTGTGGGTGGATCCTGGCGGCTGGAGGTTCATCAAGGGCAGGGCGTGGCTGCTCAAGTGCCTTAAGGGGCTTCGGGCTTACACACTGTGAATAGCTAATGGGAGACAAGGCATAATGTAGACACAATCTTACCTCTGATAATAAGAAAACAGCAGGCCAGAATACGGAACTCCTCTTTTTCAACATTTTTTTGTTTGTTTTGTTTTTTGAGACAGGGTTTCCCTGTGTAGCCCTGGCTGTCCTGAACTCACTCTGTTGCCTCAAACACAGATGTCTGCCTGCCTCTGCCTCCCAAGTGCTGCTGCCACCAACCAGCTGACTCAGTTTCTAATTTTGGCCCTCCTTTTTTTTTTTTTTTTAACATAGTTTTCCAAGTTATAGCAAAACCAAGATACTTTGGGAATTGAAGGAATGAAGATAAAAGGGTTTTGTAGCTACAGTCTGAAGTGGAGCGATCTGTTTTGTACACACACAACTGAGGTAGTACATTCGTAATGTAAAGTGGACTCCGGGTGCTAGGGTCTGTGGTTCAGTGACAGAGATCTTGCCTTGGATGTGTGAGACCAAAGGTTCTATTCCTAGCATCTCTCTCCCCCACCGACACACACACAGCATGAGCAGCAACGCTGAGAGAAACGGGAACGACCATTGGTCGTCTGGATTTCAAGACTTGAAAACCCATGTGGCTCAGTACAGTCCCACAATCACCTAATCGGACAGCAGAACCCTTGAGAAGGTGACTGAAGAGTACAGTCCCTAATTAAGCATTCATGCCACATTCTCATTAACCTGTTGTTTCTTCCCGGGTGCTAGCACACATGCTCAGTGCTCAAAAAAACCACAACTCAGGTGAACTATTTGTGGGGGCTCCTGGACAGAACCTGTATCTTTTGGATCAGATGGTGCAGAGGAAACTTTGCCTTGAGAAAAAAATTTTTAACCTGTTGTAACATTGAAACTCCTCTTCCCTTGCTATTGTCAGCGTGGTAGGATCTAACTTTTATTTACAAAAAGTTACAAAGTACTGTTTGTTTTTCCTCTTTACCTTTTCTCACTGAGTATGTTACACTTTGATAAGTCTTCTCATTACAAAGACTCATCTTTAAGGTGCAGAGACAATGGCCCCAGGCCGCCATCCTTGACAACACCACCACGTGGCACCTTTTTACTTTCACATTTATCTTTAAGACAGGGTCTTACTACGCAGAACAGGCTGGCCTTGAACTCACAGAGATCCACCTGCCTCACCCTCCTGAATAGTGGTATTAGAGACAAGTTGCCACTATGCCCAGCATCCTTTATTTCATGTGTATGCATGTTTTGCCTGTATGTATGTCTGTGTGCCTGGTGCCCAAGGACAGAAGAGGTCACAGATCCCTTGGAAATGGAGTCACGGGTGGTTGGGAGCCACCATGTGGGTGCTGGAAAACAAACCTGGGTCCTCTAGCCTCTGAATCATCTCTCCATCCCCTTTTACTCCCCTGTGACATTCATCTGGCCGTGTCCCTGGCTTTCAGAGTAGGCTAGTTTCCTAGCGATGTACCGATCCTCAGGTACTTAACAATTCCTTGCAGATTCCCACTGTAGTGTGGTGTAGAAAGCCAAAGAGGAGAAAAGAAAAGCCCTCAAAGAGCCCTCAAAGAGTCAAGGGAACAACAAGCCAAAGGTGTAGGGTAGTCTGTGCTTTCAAATAATGGCACTGTGCTAGACGACAGCATAAAAGAACGCACTGTGTTAGCCACGTGGCAGTGCGAGTCCATTCCGTGAGAGTTAAACAAGGGAAGGCTCTGAGATGAAAAAGCATTTCTACTTTCCTGCTAGGCAGTGCACATCACTGTTGACTGTTGAAGGCCACTGTGCCTTATAAATCTCGCCTTTATAAATCTCATAGAGCCCTCTAGCGGTAAATGGGAAGGCCCATATGCTCATCGCACGGATGAGGAAGTCGAGGTGCAGAAAGGTAAGACGCCCAAAGGCTCACAGAGTCGGAGACACTTTTATTCCCCCAAATCCTCCACAAATAACGGCCACGCAGAAGTGAGCACCATAGCTCCGGAGAGAGAAACACCACCTCAGCACGCCTGTCATCCACCGCAGAGCCCGAGCCGGAAGAGCGGCGCCTGCGCCATGGCGTAAGCCGCAGGTGCATTGTGGGAAACTCCTATTTGTTTATAGCCAAGCGTCCGGGTTCCAAATAATACAGCCTAACTGAAAAGGGCTGGATCTTGATAGTTGTCATAGGCTCTGGGACGCTTGGAAGGCATGCGAAGGAAACTGGAGGGGTTTTTGCTGGGATCAGGGTTTGCAAGACCATTTCTTATAAGTTTAGAGCCGCTAAGGGACCGCGGGCTGCCCGAGTCCTCCAGAGTGAGCCAGAGCGGCGTCTCTATGATCAAGGAGACAGAGAGCGGGCCTCTCTACCCCGCCCGGTGAGGCTGCGCATGCGCAGCATCTGTAGCACCGGAAAGATGGCGGAGGCAGGGTGAGTGTTTGGGTCTGTGAATCTCTTTGAGTTGGGCTTCGAGTATCCGATGCCATCCTTACTGTTTATTCTCTGGCGAAGCACAGGGATACTTGTGGGTTATGGAAGGGAAGAAAAGGCTCCATGTTACACAGCGACGGTGGGGACTGAGATGCTGTAGGGCTGGGGCTGGCGGAGCCGGGTTCGGATATCTGGAGCGACTTTTGAGGCAGAGAGTAAGGAAACTGAGGTAACTGAAGTTCGAAGGGGAGAGTGGCAGGAGAGTGCCAGAGCTGCAGAGTTGGGTTCGCTCAGCTTGGCTGTCATAATGTGTTTTTTTCAGTTTCCTACACTTGTGTAATGTGGTTTTCGAGACAGTGTTTCTCTGTATAGCTTCGGCTGTCCTGGATTTTGTAGACCAGGCTGGCCTCACCCGCCTCCCTTGCCTCCCTCCTACCCTCATGTCTCCCCCACCCCTACCACACTCAGTCTTCGCTTTACATCGTTGGTGGATCTGTGAGCGCCCCAACCCGTAACAGGCTTTACTAGAATTTCCTTGTCGCTAGTGTCAGGCTATGGACTTAAACGAACCTAGAGGATTTTTAGGGCTTTCGGGGATGAGTGAGCATTATAGGTCCATGGTGACAGCTGGTCAGAAACCCTAGGTTTCCGGGAAACCTCCGAGAGACCAACATGTCTCAGGAAGACCAGGATCGTGAATTGGTTGAAAAGCCATTGCTTGTTTGTTTCATAATTTTTGTTAATATCATTTTTTCTTTTATCAGGGAAAGAAAAAAGATCCCTTTGGTTCCAGAAAACCTCCTGAAAAAGAGAAAGGCTTATCAGGCCCTGAAAGCCACTCAGGCGAAGCAGGCACTTTTGGCAAAGAGAGAGGTAATTCTGGGGAGCAAGGGACAAAGAATATTGGGCTTTGTAGTGGGTGAATTTTATTGATCATTTGTTTAACTGTATTTGTTATCAGATCTCTATTGTCTAAGTCTCCATTTACCAAAGGTTTCCTCAACATCTGTGAGCAAAATGCTGGAATCATGGTTAAAGGAAAAGTGAGGACCTTTTCTGAAATCAAATTCAGTGATGAAAGACCAAATTTGGCAGAAATAAAAATTGAATATTTTTAAATTTCTGTTGGTTTCTTAGACATGATTGAGAAAGACAGACAGACCGACCAGGCTGGCCTCTAACGGAGATCAGCCTGACTCAAGGCCCCAGAGTGCTGGGATTAAGTTGACAACTCTGTCACACTTACATAATTTCAGCATTCTGGAAAGTTGGGGAAGGAAAATAGAGTTTAAGGTTAGCTTGGGTTATATAAGGAGAACCTGTCTCAAACCAGAAGTATCTGACAAGTGTTAACGTTTCTTTTACTTAGAATCATGCGTAAGTGTAGGCTGCACATACATGGTTTCTGAGGGCAGAAGAAAATGCTCTTGTTTTTAATGAGCCTGTTGTAGTGCTGGGTTTCATAATGTTACAGCACACCCCAAATATTTTTTCATAATGTCTAAGTTTTCTCTGCTCCACCTTTACTTGGGGTGCCCGGCGTTTCCTCTATGTGATGGTCTACCCAACTTTGCAGAACGTGGAAGGAATGAGCGTAGGTATTAGTGGCTCCTGGGTTAAGCTGTGGGTGGGACGAGATGGTGACGGCCGTCTTCTCTGCCGCAGAGGAAAGTGAAGGAACTCCGGTTTAAGCGGCTGGAATCCTTCGTGCACGAGTCCTGGCGGGAGCAGCGGGACAAGGTGCGAGTGCAGCGCCTGGAAGTGAAGCCTCGCGCTTTGGAGGTGCCTGACAAGCACTCCTTGGCCTTCGTCATGCGCCTGGAAAGGTAGAGTGCGGGGTGTTTTCAGAGTTCCTGGGATGTGTGAACTGTTGGTTCAGCTGTGGGTGTCTCTGTAGAGAGATAAGGCTTAATCCACTGCAGCAGATTGTGCTAGGATTCAGTGTAGGCCAGCAGGTGAAACAAGGTCAGTCTGCAAATGTTCAGGGTGAGGTAGGTGTGGCTTAGTAATACTTTTCTAAAGAAGGAACAGCAACTCAACACAGGACATGCCTTTAATCCCAGCACTGCAGCAGAGAGAAACAAAAGGCATGCAGGAGTTCAGCATTGCTCACGGGCATGCATCCTGGTGAAGGGTTCGAAGACACCGGATATACAGTTTCCACACTTAGCAGGGCTTTGTATTTGGCCCAGTCAAATACAGCTGTGCGCCTCTTGATAGGAAACCTTTTGAGTTTTCCATATTTGTGAGCTCCGCCCTCTAACCTTCCTGCCACTGCCATAATCTCCAGGACTCGATTTCCCTGGCTGTGGGGTCCGTCGCAAATACGCCCTGAATATGTTCCTTTATTTTACTACCTGCCCACTGAAGCAATCTAGCTTCCTTAGGTAGACATAGATAAGCTACTTGATCTGTAGCTTATCCCCCCCCCCAAACATTCGGGAACTCTGTCCTGTAGTACCCATAGACTGCTCTACATGATGGGAAAAGTCTGTTTCCACTCTGCCTCCCACTACACAAACAGACTAGTATAGACTCGAGTCAGACACTGCTCTGTTGGTTTCAGGATTGAAGGGGTGAGTATGTTGGTACAGAAGACCCTGGCAAAACTTCGCCTGAAGAAGTTGTTCAGTGGTGTCTTTGTCAGTGTCACCCCTCAGAGTGTAAGGATGCTGCGCATAGTGGAACCTTACGTGACCTGGGGGTAAGTATACCGTTTCCTCATGGGAACTCCTTTGTGCTTGAGTGTCTAAGACAAGGTCCATTTTGTGTGTTGACATTGTGCTGTGGCCAGTCACCAGAAATAAAGAACCTTAGGACATGGGAAGGACAACAGAATCAGTTCGGGGCTTATTCATTTGTAGAGGAGAACTACGTAAAATGAATGACAGAGATTAATGCCTGAAGCCAAAGTAAAGGCCGTGCTTGAGTGGCAGGAGTGCTCTGCTGGGGTGTGGAGGTCACACCTAGAATCCATGTGGAGGGAGTTTGCTGTGGGTCCCAGGCCAGCCTAAGCTGTTCTGTAAGACACTTTCTCAAACAAAATTTTCTGTGATCCCAGTGCACGAAAGGCTGAGGTAGGAGGATTGCTACATGGGCTTCAAGAATAAAACCTGGTCTCGAAAAATATCTAAACTTCTAATTATATATTCCAGCCCACTCTGGGATTTTCCTCTGGCTGATTGGTTGATTTGCTCTTAGCTTATGTGAGTTAAGGTATTACTGGGCAATCCAAATATTCTTTAGACTCACTGTGTAGCTCAGGAACCTCCAGCCCTGGTGCTCAGGTGCTAGGTCTGGGCTACTGTGCGTGGTATCCCCTCCAGTTTTTCATCCTTCCCTTCAGTGTGTCTCCCAACCGTCCACTCCCCGGTTACGGAAGGTTGCAGTGAGAAAATCCTCTCTCAGCTGCAGACCTGAGTGGCTGCTGTAATGCTCTTCTGTGCCTTACGCAGATTTCCAAATCTGAAGTCTGTCCGGGAACTCATCTTGAAACGTGGACAAGCAAAGATTAAGGAGAAGACTGTCCCCCTGACAGACAACACAGTGATTGAGGAGCACCTGGGTGAGCTGGCTGGGCAGAAAGCAGGGTGTCGCCAGCTGTGACGTGGGATCCAGGGTAGATTCTTGGGCCTCACAGCCCCAGCTTCGTCATGTGAGGACTTACTTTATCCTGGCTAGTAGTGAACAAAGGAATCTACACTTTTTGTTTCTCAGGGAAATTTGGTGTCATTTGCCTGGAAGACCTCATCCATGAAATTGCCTTCCCGGGGAAGCATTTCCAGGAGATCTCTTCATTCTTGTGCCCTTTCCACCTCTCTGTGGCCCGTCATGCTACCAAGAATAGAATGGGCTTTCTCAAGGAGATGGGCTCCCCTGGCTACCGGGGTGAGCGCATCAACCAGCTCATCCGTCAGCTGAACTAGAGCAGGACCAGGTGAGGCCAGTGCTTACGTGGAGGTCAGAGGACAGCGTGGGGGTGTGGGTGTGGGTTTGTTCCCTCTCATACTGGTTCCAAGGCTCAAAGTTGGGTATCCAGTCTTGGTGCTAAAAAGCCTTATTCACTGAGCCATCTTGCCAGCCCTGGTCTGACTTTTGATGGGCCATGCTTGTCAATTAAAAGTCCCTCTGTGTGTGCCAGTACTTGAGTCCTCTTATGACCAGAACAGGCATATGGCCTCTTGGGAAGGGACAGCACCTGATTAGGACATGCAGCTGTGGTGTTAGGTCACGGGCTAGAAAACATCTGTGCTGCTGTCGACATTTAGCCTTCAGTGGAGAAGAAACCACATCAGAAACTAATTTCAGAAGGAATTTGAAGACCAGTTACCTGTTTTGCTGAAAGGATCCTAACCTGAAAGGCTTTGGGTTGCACTTTTTTAGCTCTTAATCCCAGGTCGAAATTGGCTTGTGGTGATGCAGTTATGTTTTCCTTCCTTAGGATTTCCAATAGCCTAATGCACTGGAAGTGTTTCTGTTAAAAATTATCACGTGTCTTCAGAGAAGATTATTTTCTGCCTTCAAAGACTGAAGGAAGGGGCCAAGAGAAAGACAGTAGGGTCTGGGCATCACAAACACCTCAACACAGCCCAGGTCTATGAAAAAGGACTATTACTCTCCACAGTGGTTGCTCCTCTCTGAAACCAACACAGGCCATGGAGAAAAGAGTTGCCCTGCTTCGTCCTACCTTTATCTTGGTGTTTATTGTTGGGTGGGCAGATAGCCCAAACATCCTTCCATCCCTCCAAGACTCTTAAAGCAATGGACCAGACCAAGGGGCATGCCTGAATCTGGAAGAAAGGGTTCTTGGTATTTTGTACCTGGCGTCCTTAAACTCCATAGCAGTCCTCCTGCCTCATCCTCCTAGGTGCTGAGATTCTAGGCGTGAAGATCCCCAGTCAGGAAGGTTGTTAGTCTTGTGCTATGAGACCATGTTGCAACTTCAGTGGCTTTGGAACATGCCTATCCCTGAGTCAGTGTGGTGGCATCTGTACCCTGACCTATGAGGCCAGTCCTTCCCTATAGCTCAGGATTTATGACGGGGAATCCCTTGCTAGGAAAACATACACGTATCTATACAGAGGCTTTGCTTGGCCCTCCATGGCAGTGGGACACACCCTCTTGGCACCCAGATGTCTTGTGAGGACAGCCTGCTTTTATGAGCATGGGTCTGTTAAGCTCCTGTCAGTCTGTGCTGGAGGAGGAGGCTGAGGCTTAGCTACCAAGTTGGTTGTTTTCTATTAAGAACCAGTGACTGGCTGGCCTGGTGGTGAACCTCCTGAGCACTTGGGAGGCAGAGGCAGGCAGATCCGAGTTCAAGGGGAGCCTGCTATACAGAGTTCCTGGACCTCAAGGCTGCTAACAGAAATTGTTAAAAGAATGTGGTGATAGACTCTTTCCTAAACCACATATACCCAGGAAATGCCCACTAAATTTCACCCTGGGCATCAGATTCCCCTGTCAGCCCTTACCTGAAAGCCCACACCAGGGGCCCACATTCTTAAATATTTGGCTTGAGCTTTCCTGGAACCTTGATTTCATTAGGCCCTTACAGACATCGCTGTGAAACTCAGTTAATAGTGCCAACATGGGCAGAGTAGTACATGTCTTTAGTCACAGCACTATGGAGGCAGAGGGAGGTTGATCTCTGTGAGGTCAGTGCCAGCTTGGACTATATATTGAGATCCTGTCTCGAAAAGAGAAAAATTTAAGAGCTCCTCAGAACATGCCAATTACAAGGTCAGTGGGTTCCAGAGAAAAATCTGCCAGAGACCAGTGTTACTCTGCTATTGGAGAGCATTGGGTAATGCAGCCAAAGGTGCACTGTGGCCACAAGAGAAAGGGTCACAGCATTTCAAATTCTGTTAGCCGCAGGGAACGCTGCAGTGTTGGAGTCCTTGCCTACTGTGTATGAGGCCCTGAATGACCTAAGGAAGCCAGGTTCGCAGTTTTGACCAGAAAAGTGGACCTGGTGTCTTCAGGTGTCTGCCTTGCTCAGAATTTAAAACAATTTAACATAATTCTATAAATAAAAGGTTATTTTAACATTTACTTTTGTGTGAGTATATATCACTGTGGTCTAAAGTAGCCAGAAGATGCCCACTGCCCTGGAGCTGGAGTCGCAGGCACTGAAGGCTTGCAGGAGTGGGTGCTGGGAATGGCTCTAGCCCCAAAGTTAGGTAAAATGGGTGTTTTACCTTGCGGGGTGTTTACCTCTAATTTACCATGATTGAATCCCCAAAACTAGGGTTGGGACTTCCCATTGCTGGGGAGAGCTGGGTCTATCTTAGTTACTAACCTACACGGGTAGACTTCCTGTCTGCCATGCTGCCGATTAGGTTTTATTGTTACAGGAAATGGTTGATGCCAGGAGCCAGTTTGGAAGCCTGCTAGAAAGCTTGTCACTGCAGAGGTAGGTCTCTGAATTCAAGGCCCGTCAGGGCTATAAAGATACCCTGTCTCAAAAACCTTGAGGGAGCCAAGTGGCTCAGAGCTGTTCACCCGGTGCCAGGGCATGTGACTCAACATGCTGCACATTGTGAAACTTATCTATGGTTTCACAAACAAGTCCTAGGGTCCTGGAAAGGTGGCTCCGCGGTTGAGAGCGCCTGGTGCCCTTTCAGAAATCCGCACCCACATGGCAGCTGACAACTCCAGTTCCAGCCCTGGAGATAGCTCAGTAGGAAAGACGCCTGCTGCCGAGCCAGAGCTCGATTCCTGGGACCGACACGTGACTCCCACAGGTCCTCGGAGGCACTAAAAAACTGCCTGCCTTCGCCGATTCCAAAAGCCAGGATTTCTAAGGATTTCACTTGCTGCATCGTTTCGGAAACGAATTATCAAACCAAAACAACTACAAAATGCCTTTTGGGTCCCACGTTCACTTTATCGTCAGGATAGGCTGACCCGGGAAGTCATGTCCTGCTACTGTGACAAACGAAATTAACAGACTTGTTTCAATTACACAGATGGATTGGACCACGTTATACAGTTAAAATTCAGAGTCCAAAACCAAAATTACTGGGCAACGCTGACTGCTCCAGGAAGACTAGTTCCGACTGAGACAGGTCAGGGCAGATGCAGAAGCATGAGTCAGGGTGGCGGGTGTCCAGACCCTCAAGCTGCTGCAGGATCCAGCCACGCCTCCGGATCTCAGGAATCCCCTGGGCCTCCGCCGAGCTGGGCCTCCGGGCTGGCCCCTGACGGCTCCTCCACGGTCGGGGGCTGCGTCCTGGCTTCTAGGGCGGTGGTGCGGGAGGAGGCGGCCGAGCCCGCGTCCTCCCAGGGCTTGGGCCTCCGCGGGAGCAGCGACGCCGTGGGTTCGCCATGGGTCGCAGTGATGTGGCGTTTCTCCAGACCCGGAAGCTCCTGGCCTTTCTGGACCAGCCGCAGGAGCTCTGCCAGGGTCACCGAGGCCGGAGCAGGCTCGGCGGACGCCGGTGCTCCGCTCGGACTGCACACGCGGCCCTGCGGATCCATGACCCCGGTCGGACCTCAAGCACTTCCGGGTTGGCGTGGGCGCAACCACCTTCGAGGAAAGGGGAGGCCGTACCTAGGCGCAGGGACCCGAGGTGCTCCTGCGGAAGCTGCAGTGCATCCGGATCTCATTCCTCAGCGTGGATGGGCTAAGAGGGAATTTAAAAAAAGGCGGGGCGGGGGGATGAACTAGCCAAAAAGTGAAGTGCGAACCCACCGGGACAAGTGTGGGGAGGGAGGCGCGGCTGCAAAGACGCTCCTCTCTTACGCACAGGTTGCAGCGAGAAGCGGGGGGCTCCCGCTGGGGTCCAGGCTGCGATTCTGTCTGCTTCTCCTGAGCGCTCTCGCACGCTCTTCACATTAATTTTGCTAATTATACTAAGGATCAGATCGCGGGGGTGGGGTGCTGTTGTTTGGAGTCTGTTGTCTGTTGTCTGTTTTGGTTTTGAGACATGGATTCATCCTCTCCCACAGTGTCTGCTGAGCTACACCTCCCAGCTCCGACGTTCAGGCTTCTGAAGTTCCCAAAGCTAGCCTGAACAGGTTGTGGTGGCCCGTGCCTGTAAGGTCACACGCTCGAGCCACGGAGTCAGCCTGGGCTACATCCTGAAAGAAAAACAACCAGCTTGATTTGGCACACCCAGAAGTCAGTGGTTTGCATAATTTGAAAAGGACGCAGCCAGCTTACCCTGCACTGTAAACAACCCCATGAAACTCACTGGGTGAAAAAACAAAAAGCGGGTGAAGGCTCCACAAGTAGGACTGTTCACGGTGGGCCCAGCCCCATGGTGTTCTCAGGGTCTCCCGTAGCCAAGGCTGACCTTGAACTCACAATATAGTCTTGATTAAAAAAAAATCTGTGTGCGTGTGGTGTGTGAGGACACAACGTACATGTGAGTTTAATGTCAGGAATCATTCTACATCATTCTTGCTCCTCATGCAAAGCCTCTCAAGCAAAGCCAGGGCTTGCCGACGTGGCAGGTATCTCTGGGGATGCCCTGTCTCTGCTTTGGAAGAGTAAAATTGCCACCACACCCACCTGGCATTTGCCTGGGTTTGTGGTCATTCACACTCTGATCCTCACGCCGTCTCCCAGCCCCAGCTTTGAACTTCTGGCCCTCCTGCCTCCGACCTGCCATTGCTGGAGTTACAGGTGTGTCCAGGATTGTGTGGTTCTGGAAATGGACACCAGGACTTCACACTTGTGTGCCAGGTAAGCTTACAGCTCCAGCGCCTCCTGTACACCGGTCCTGGACCACCACCTTAGATTTTCCCTGTGCAGAACGGTGGGAGAGAACTTTTTTTCCTTTTGGGAACTGAGGACTAAACCCTGGGCCTTGTCCATTTTAGGCAAGCAGTCTGTTGGGGTATATCCTCAGTACACTTCTCTTTATAAAGTGCCTAGTCCGTGGTATCCTACCATAGCAGCATAAGCCACGGTGACTTCCGTTACTCTCAGCTAAGGCGTCTCCACGGAAGCACTGATGGAGGGCACGTGGCTGCCCACAGTGGCAACTGCTGGCTTGGAGACATCACAGCTCCCAGGGACAGAAGCCATGTCAAGGCAGTAGGGCTTATGACAATTTCAATCTACATGTAATTTTCATATATAAACATGGGATGGCCTGTAGTGAGAATTCTGGAATTTTGGCCCCTTTAAAAAGCACAGACGTTTTGTGGAATATGTTTATTTTAACCCCGTGTGTGGGGATACAGGGCTTCGTCACAGCAGCGGACTATGATTTGCCTCGTGCTCTAGCAGAGCTGTGGTTTTCCCAGCTGGGGATAGTTTCTGTGAGTGTGTGACATTTGGAATTTTCAGAGGATATACAATTGCTAGGGCCCCCAAGAGGCATGATTGGTGGTTGGTGGTCATTTGTTGAAGTTTGTTAGTAGTCGTGCTCAAAGAAGAAAGAAATTAGATTCAAGGATCTCGATCTCTCTTTCACCCCTAGATCCTTCTTTCTCTCCTGTCTAGTGATGGGGGTGGAATGAGGGATAAGGGAAGGCTGGGATAAAGGGTTGGAAAAAGGAGAACTCACAGAGAGGTAAAAGGTAGCTACAGTGGCGCATGATGTGATGGAAATACCTGCCAGGCAAAATAAGGAGTCCACAGATTGTTAGTCATTTTTATAAAACTGTGTTTATTCCTCAGTTTCTCTCTTAACCCGGCTCTCATACAAATAATTGAGACTCATATTTTTTTAAGATTTTTTAATGTATGTATGTGAGTGTTTTGTCATCATGTACACCTGCAGGCCAGAAGAGGGCATCAGATCCCAGTATAGATCGTTGTGAGCTGCCATGTGGTTTCTGGGATTGAACTCGGGACCTCTGGAAGAGCAGACAGTGCTCTTAGCTGCTGAGCCATCTCCTCAGCCCTAATATATTCTTTTAACAAGCTTCACAGCACAAGAACCGAGCAGTTATGAGTCCATTCTTAACCCTCTAAGCTAGTTTGGCTTTCTTCCGGCGCACATCCCAGAGATACTTGCACTTTGTAGCTTTTCTGCTCCAGCTTCTCTTCTGATCTCACTTCCATCTCGCCTGTGGCTGAATCCCTCACTTTCTCCTCTAACTCCTCCTCCACTAGCTGGCAGAAAGTCCAGTCCTATTCTTTTCCCTGTTTAGCAATTGGCTGTAAGCTGCTTTTTTTTTTTTTTTTTTTTTTTTTTTTCACATTAGGGGACAATTGAGGAGCAGTTTCTACACAGCATTGAGACAGTAGATTCTTAGAACAAGGATTGCAACCAAATATGGGGGATACAGAAGTCAGCATTTGAGTTACATAATAAACTTATGCCTACAACAGATAATGATTTTTAAGTGTATTTGATTCAAGCTTGGGTCCAGTTCCCACCTCAGCACTGTGAAACTTATTTTTCCTTGATTTTTCAAGACAGGGTCTCTCTGTGTAGCTCTGGCTGTCCTGGAACTCCCTCTATAGAACAGGGTGGCCTTGAATCCACAGCAATCCGCCTGCCTCTGCCTCCTGAGCACTGGGATTACAGGTGTGCACCACCACCGTGCAGCTGGGGCCAATTCTTTTACTTATCTCAGTGTCAGACTTTCTGTCAACCCCTGCTTCCCAGCATGGCCCCACTGATTAGCGAGGATCACAAAGGATGCTTGATGAAGGCCGTTATCATTTTAAAAGCCTACGTTTATGTTTATGTGAGTCTGTGTCTGTGCACCACGTGGGTGCAGTGCCCTCAAAAGCCAGAAAAGAGCGACAGAGACATGATGTTAGCCATCATGTGGGTGCTGGTAATTGAACTCTCTGGTCTGAACAGCCAGTGCTCTTAACCACTGAGCTGTTTTTCCAGCCCTGAAGGCACTTATTAAGGATCCTCAATGATGTCTTCTATGGCCCCTACAGGCCCTTTTTTCCATCCGAGTTCACCCAACTACCTGGACCTGACACACTCGCTTGATTCAGTAGGCTCCCTTAACCTTCTGGCTTTAGGAGTCTGGCCAAGAGGCAGGGGAGGGCAACAGGAGCAAGGAAGAGTAGGATATCAGCAGATTTCTTTCTGCTCCCTCTCTTCAGGATCACACTGACAGCAGCCCCTCCACACAGCTCTCTGGTTTGAGGGCTCTGAGCCTGTTCATTTTCTGCTCCCTCAGATGCTACACTGCATCCTGGGAACTCCCTTGTTCTTGCACACATCTCTGCCAGTGGACTCTAGTAAATTCTTAGATTCTCCAGTGTCCTTGTGTCACCCTGTCCTGCCCTTCCTGACCAATGCAAGATGTGGCTCCTTCCAGGGGCAGACCTGAAACAGGCCATTGAGAATGGACCTCTCACATTGAAGAAGGGGACCTGCATGTGACTGGTGATCTCATTCTTTGTGAGGAAAGCTACACGATGTGACAGGCTCTGCATGGCCATGTTGCTTATTCTGGTGTCCACAGAGGAATACAGAAGGTGAGGGTGTGACCAGAGCCCTTCCCTGTGTCCCCATTTATTTATTTTTATTTGTTTTTTGTTTTTGTTTTTGAGACAGTGTAGCCCTGGCTGTCCTGGAATCACTCTGTAGACCAAGCTGGTCTTGAACTCACGAAGATCCACCTGCCTCTGCCTCCCAAGTGCTGGGATTAAAGGTGTGCACGACCAGAGCCCGGCTGCTGGCTTTCCTAAAAATAGGGTCTCATGGTGTATCCCAGGAAGGCCTTGAACTCCCTATCCTCCTACCTCAGTTGCCTGATTCCGGCATGAACTCCCCCACCTGGCCTGGCCTCCCGGATTTCATTTGCAAAAGCAAGAAAGGTAGGAGGACAGGGGCCTTGAGATGGGTTGGAGACATGGCATAGATATATAGATGATAAACAGGCATAGCATAGATGCAGATATACAGATAGATAGCACAGTGGCTGAAACGAGACAGACCCTCCCTCGAGAGGCTGAAAAGCAAGAATATAAGCTGTTCTCTGACATCCACACGTGCGTTGTCTGAACACACACACAAGGTCATAAACTGAGCTGGAGGTGTAGTTGAGGTGATAGAGCGTTAGTCTGCATGAAGCCATGTACTCCATCACCAACACCACATGAAACTAGGCACAGTGCTGTGTTCCTGCAATTCTAGCTCTCGGGAGATGGAGGCCTGTAGTTCCATGTCTCTCGGAACGGCCACTGGACGCCGCTGGGGCGCCTAGCCAAAAGAGCGCACTTGTCTGCCAGAAGGTCTAAGCGCCATCGGTCTCTGGCACAAAAAAGGTAAAACTCGGAGTCCTTAGCGAGCATGGAACGAGCTCTGTGTCACGCAGCCCCTGGTCCAGCCGGGGGTTCGGGAAAAGGCTGTTTTCTCTGCAGTAAGTGTTACTGCTCTTTAAGCTGAGCTGTCCGCATCAGGCCAGCGGCAGAGGGGAGCCCAGGGCTCCACGACTGAGTCAGATGGCAAGGAGGGCCCGGCAGCTTCAGGACCGGCCAGCAGCTCACTCCCACGGAGCTCACTCCAGCGGTGAGGCCCCTCTTTCCCGGTGCTACAGCTCAGGATAAACTGCCAGTCTCAGGCGTCCTTCGGTGAAGGAGATGGTGATTTATTTCATGTGAAGCTGGGTTTTATAAACCCTGGGCAGTGGGGCGGGGCTTGGAGGATGATGTGTCTCATTGGCTGGGACTTAGGATGCTGGTAAGGCTCTCCTTCTGTGGGGGAAGACAACAG